ACTTTGCATTCTGATAATAATTAAGCACCTTGACTTCCTAAATTCCACTAACAGTTTATGTGTCCATTAAATGGTCAACCTAACAGTTATATATGAAAGTGCTAAAATGAGCCATTGACTTTAGCCTTTGCTCCAACATTTTACAACAGAAATTTAAAGGCTGAACATTTTCTACAAAAGATCCCCCTGGGTGGAATGTTTCTTCCTCTAATTCTGCAACTAATCTTTGATATCACACACCATGAAGGTTAACAGAAAAAGTTAAACATAGCAATTCATGGTTGATGACTATATACCTTTTTGCTTAGTTTATTTATGTATGTCCTTGTTTAACCACCTGTCATGTAATACCAACTTGGTGTTTACTGAGTTTAAGCTAATGAGGTAAAATCTCCAAGATTCTGTCCTTGTCTTAACAGGAAAGCACTTGCTGCAGAAAGTTCCCTGGGAACTGGGAACTTCTGTCCACTCGACCTTAGATGTCCAGTCCCTAAGGCTGGGGCAGGATGTCGCATTTATATATATATATATGAATAGAGTCAAAATAGTGCAATAAGTATCTGTGATCTTTGCACTTCTCTCTCATCTGCCACCAAATATCTTGCTTCCTCTGTTGCTTCCACTTCATACCTTTTGGAGATTAGGTATATAACATATTAATAGTAAAAGTAAGGAGGATTCATGGTTTTCACAGAAATCTAAAAAACATCATACATTCCTAGAAAACACACACCTGAGACTATCTGAAATCATCTGGCAACATGCACAATCAACCCACATATTCTAGATAAAAAGCTCACAATTCAAGTTTAAAACAACAAACTTGCTTTAAAAGTGTCTACTTCCAAATATTAATAAAGCAAAGAAAGTTGTCTGAAAATTTCCACAGCAAGCTTCCCAGGCCTCATGTTGAGATAAGGTGAGTAATAAATTACCCTAAAAGGAAAGCCTTAAACCACACTACAAAATCTACCACCACCACCTCTAATTTCTTACTCACTTTAATTACAAAAATAAATATATTCCACTCTCATGAGAAGGGAAAGGAGCTCAATAAATAAAGCCACAATTGTATCATAACTTACATCGGCATTTGGAAAATGAGTCCCTAGGATTATAATTTGCCAGCTGCTTTGATATAGAGATTATTTCCATCATGTAAAAGTCATGGTCCATTAACATCTGCTAGTCAGGTTTAGGGCCACCAAAACTCCCCCAAAATTACTGAGGAGAATGGAGTTTATGGAGATTCCAGCAACTGAGAACAGCAGCAAAGTGTGAATGTAGCTATACACCTACAGTCCAAATGACCCTCTATCTCAGATTACAACAATCACTTAACACAACTGAGCTTCAATTTCCCTAAATAAAAAAATGAATGGGTTAAAATGATGTGATAATATCTGAGATCCCTTTCAGTTATTAAAAAAAAACCTTCTATTTTTCAATAATATGTTTATTTTTTCATAGGGAGCACATTTATTTAATTCAAAACTTTTTAAATTCAGAAGATTAAAAATAACATCATAGTCCCTTGGTATCCATAGGGGATTGACTCCTGAACCCCAGACATGAGAATCCATGGGAGCTCAAGTCACTATACTGATAATGGCAGCGTATTTGCGTATAGCCTAGGCACATCCTCCTGCAAACTTTAAGTTGTCTCTAGATTATTTATCATACCTGGTGCAATGTGAGATGTAAATAGTTGTCATATTATATTATTTAGGGAATAATGACAAGCAATCAAGTCTGTACATGTTCAGTATAATTTTTCCTAAATATTTTTGACCCACTGTTGGTTGTATCCACAAATACAGAGGACATGGATGTGAAGGGCCAGCTGCTCTCCATTAAAGTCCCACTCCTATCCTTGCTCCTTCTGCCCACCTCCATACGCCATAAGCCCACACAGAAACAACAGCTCCAGCTAGTTTACTGTGCAGTATTTAAGAGATTTCTTACAAAAACATGAGCAAGCACGGTAAAGTTCTCTTACTTACTTCTTCTCTAACAAAAAAAGAAAGGTATTATGGTATACTGACAAAACTTTTACCATTCAGTGCATCTTGTAGAGCCTTCTATACAAGTACATAGATTCCTTCATTATTTCCAATAACTGCATAGTTTTCATTAGATGGATATCCAAAATTCATTTAACCAATATCCTATGGATGGACACTTGGATTTTTCTTCCCAGTCTTTTGCTATAAAAAATAATGTGGTAAAAAACCTTTTATACATATACTTTCTGTATAGTTTATTCCTCTAGGAGAAATTTCCAGAAGTGAAATTCTGAGTCAATGGGCAAACACATCTCCTCTGCCACCTTCCACACAGTTGCATCACCACCTTCACCTGCACAGTGACGTCTGAAAATCTTTGGTACTCTGCACTCATCAAATATCAATGCTTCCGTTCTTTCTCCTTTGGACTTTTGCCTTCTGTGATAAATATGTAGCATCTCCCCATGATTTACACTTGTATTTCTCTTATTATGATGAGTTTTGCGTATTAATCAAATATGATTCTTTTACCGAGTTTTAGTCCGTTCATATTGCTTGTCCATTTTTCTGTAAGTTTCTCATCTTTTTTCTGTTGTTTATAAGTAAAAATTCTATTGTTTCAAGAGAACAGTCCCATGGCCTGACAATTCCTGCATATTACCAGTGGATCCTGAACTATTTCGATGTATCACTTTTTAAATGCTTTAAGGGTTTAAAAGGTTATCCCTGAGATTTTGTAATTGGCATTCACTAATCAACCACACTGGATTTGCTAAAAATAACCTATCACATCCACAAAAAAAATGTTCTTTTTCTTTGCAAATACAAAAGGCATACTTCATTTCCTATAGGGGAAGAAAGAGCTGGGAAGGCTGGATGAAGACAATTTCATCCTTGGATGACAGAGAAAAAAACTGGTAATGGTAGATATTATGAGGCATAAAAAAGTCGAAGACATGAACATATTGGATTTTATAAATACATTTGTGCAGTCCTTCCACTGCATGTTTAGCAGTTCAATTACATTAATATACAGCAATTTTCTTAATATCATAAAATTCAAGTATCCAGATAGGCACTCCCATTTCTCTAGTAAATATCCAAGCTACATCAGCAATCTGTCTATATACAGTTCCTAAGAATATATTTAAAGGGGCTGGGGTTGTGGCCCAGCGGTAGAACACTCGCCTAGCATGTGCAAGGCCCTGGGTTCCATCCTCAGTACCACATAAAAAAAAAATAAATAAAATAAAGTTATTGTGTCCAACTACAACTAAAAAATAAATATTAAAAATAACATATTTAAAAAACAGTGAGAGCTGTGAAGTCTGTGCCACAATGGATGGATCAAACTGCCAAACACTGATATAAACACTTACCCTTTTTAAATTCTTAAACAGATCTAATTCCAACTAACTAGGAATTTGCAAAGTCTAAACCAGCTGCATTTTAGATATCTAGAAAAAGTCTCCCCTGATGACAAGGGACCCTTCCCCACACGTTTCACTGAGAAAGTTAGGAAAGAACAAAGATGGCCCTAGGGGCTTTCCAACTTGGCAGGAGACCTGTTGCTGAGAAAGTACTTCTTAACTATTACAATACATCTCTAACAGGAAAGCCATGAGGTCACATTAAAGGATTATAAAAATACCTAGATTTTATCATTTCTTTGACTCTACAGAATACCCAGGGACTGCCAAAGGTATCCCTGATGACAGTCTTGAAAACTAAGGACATGATCTGGCTCAAGTCCAAAAGGGCAACACACATGGTAGGCTCGTGGACTGGGGTCCTCCCCTGGCATCAAGCACAGACTCAGGGGCCAGGCCTCCTGCCTGCTGCCCACCATCTGAAGGCCCTTGGACACATTATATATAAACTCTCCATGACTAAGTTTCCTCGTAGCATTAATTTGAGGAGTAGACGAGTTAGACATTTAAAACCATGGCTGGTAAGCAGCATTTTGTGGAAGTTCACCATGTAATCACTAGACCATATGCCATGATTACGCATCTTTAATCTAAAGGGTCAGCAGGAGAAATGGAAATATCCAGAGGCATCTCTCTCCTCCATGGGAATGAGTGTGGAGGAAAAAGGAGATAAAAGCCCCAAAATACAGTTGTGCTACAGATAAGCTTGGCGTAGCCCAATTAATGATGCATATGGCACAAGACAGCCACCAGGCAAACAGAAACTTACCATCCCAATACAACTAACACACACAGGAAGTAATCTGATCCCTAGGGATTCAAACATAAAACTTTTTTTTAATCTGAAAGTGTCCATTAAAATCTCCCCCAAGTAAGTTTGTTTTTCTACTCTTTTTCCAGTTCTCTCCTGTAACTTCCTTTACTTTCCTTCTCACACTGTCATGCTTCATTTACTGTTGTCCTGCCTCCATGAACCTCAGACCTGAAGGGGACAACAAGCCATGTTATTAAATGACAAGGTACTACTTGGACAGATCAAAGTGTGATTCTTGGATCCCAATCTAAAACCTTTTTAATGCATTCTGACTCCCAAGCAAATGATTTTAATGTATTACAGTGTCAAATTGATGTATATCCGAGAGCAACTGGGCCCTGGGGAAAATTTGATGGGTTGGAAATAAAAATCTAAAGAAATGCTTTATTAGCATTTTGTTGCACTTATAAAGCCACTTCTCAGACACTTTCAAGTGCGTAACTCAATCATTTAGCAACACCGCATCCTCCCTTTACCATCACACAGGAGCAGCAAATCTGCAGACCCAGGGTCACTAGTGGAAGAACTGCAGCTGACAGAAGTGGGCTGGAGAGCCCAAGGGCACACACCACAGCAGGGGACAGGCTGAGGGACACCTGCCTCAAGCTATCCAGGAAGAACACTCTACTTCCTCTGCACACAGGCTCTCTATAGGGCAAACTTCTCCAGGTGACCATCAGCATGGCTTCAATGGCAACAAGACACCATCTGGAATCACCAGAATCTTGCAAATTTTCACAGGATACAAACCTTTGGGAGGAGTGAGGTTGACTCCATTTTTAAGGCACCATTGTACTGGCAAAATCCCCAAAGAATCCGCATGGCACAACATTGAGAATTTACTAGGTTCTGGTCTTAGGTCATCAATAGTCACTTGAAAAAAATGATTGTTAAAAACCTGAAACAAAACAAAAAGCCAAAGGTTAATTCCTTGGTATTTCATATGTAAAGCTGGCACTTCTTCCAAACAGATATGTCATCAAATTGATGGGAAAACAGCTAAGACAGGCGCTGAAAAGCCCAGCTGGTTTCTCAGTGTCAACAGCAGGCACCAAACTTCTCACTTCAGATCATTCCAACATCAGTAAGATCTGGCCCATGAGATTTCTAGACTCACCCTGCATCGGGACCCTCCAGAGACCCCACCCGAAGCCCAGGGGGTGATCACTCCCTGGAAGACCCCCTCTCGCTAGTCTAGTAAAACTTGCTGCATTTTTCAAGGTGCAACTCAAATGTCAATGCTACGGGCCTGGCTGGAATAAACAGCCCCTGCTCTGTGCTCCCAGAGCCTGAGACACAAACTCTGTACTAAGGATCCTGGTTTCTTTCCTGCACTAATCACTTAACAGTCTCCACCAACAGATCCTAAGTTCTTTGAGAACACAATGAACTGATGGCTCTTTGTCATTCATCAAAGTATTTCCAAATGCTTTGTATAGAGAAACTGAATAAATACCCAAGGAATATAAGAGAAAACATCAAAGATGAAAAAGGAACAAGTTTTGCTGATAAAACCAAGAAGAGGGCAAAAATCAGACGGTCCCCCACACTGAAAACCATGGTGGGTTTAAATCCCTGTATGTAAAGCAGGACGGAAAAAAAAGACTGCTTTCCCAACTCAACAGACATTGACTGGTGTTTCTTAGGCCACTTTAACATTTTTACTAAGCTATGGTACCGAGCTTATAAAGTATTTCCTGGGAGTAGACAAGTTCGAATTTAAACAGGAGCAGAAACTCGCTTTTCTGCTCCTCTTGGTTCATTCCAGTACACAGTTCCAGTTCTAAGCCTCTGAAAAGAGCAAAGGATCCACCATGGCCAGCCTTCCCAGGGAGGCCATCCTGACAGTCTTATTTAAAGTTACATCCTCCCTCCACCCAGATGCTCCATTAGCCCCTCCCTGGTATGTTTTCCTCCTCAGCAAGTAACCCGTAAACACTACATTTATTTATTCATTATTTTTGTTTATTGTCTGTTTTCCCCTATTAAAATACCAGACTTTGTCCACAACCCATTGCCCAGAACAGTGCCTCTAAATGCTCAGTAAATATCTGCAAAAATGTTCTACAATGTTCATACACAGACACACATTAAAACAAACAAACAAACAAGTAAGTTTGGTGGCAGGATCTCTAGGCACACAAGGCTCGGCAAAGGCAGGCACCAAGGAATCTCCAAAACCCATTAAAATGCAGGTTCATGTGGGCACACACATTGGGGTTCACATTCCCAAATGGTCAGAACCGCTGGTTTGTGTTCCATCTGGTCCAGAATCCAAAGGTCTCAGAACCAATGCTCAAGGGCAGTTAATCAAATTGCTCAAAACTGCACAGCTCCGAGCTTGCAGAAACAGAAACCCAAATCCAGATTGCAACTCCAGTGCACTCTCCTCTCATCAATACCGTCCATGTCACAGTGACGCTATCTTCATCCTCTGTCAGCATCTCACCGATGTGGGACACCAAAATCACAGTCCCACTGGACTGCTGAAGGTTGGTCATTGAATACTGCATCTGCCACACACTCATCCACATTCCTGTTTGTTTGCTTTAATATTATTTACTCACATCTCCAACAGTTGTGCCATGAAGAAAAACCTCAGGGGGGAGGTAGGGAGATGAAATCTTCACTGTGATGAGTCATGACAGCATAGTGTGTTACAGTCTCAAACACAATATTCTAAAACATTTACTAGTGTTTTGAAAAAAGAATCTAGTTATAAGTATCTTCTACACCAAGAATGCTCTGAGACCACACTGCATGAAGAGAAGTCTTAGGCCTGGGAAGCTGTGTTTCAGGGTTCCAAGGGATGGCTCAGCACATGGCTCTATTTAGTTTATTCTGTAATGCCAGATAAAGTTGACACTGTCACACCGCAGAATAAGGACAATGTGCCATGTATCCAGAGAATAAACATCAATCTCTGCAGCAATGAAGGCAAATTCTGGATAGGTTTCAATAAGGTACAACTCTTCAGCTTTGAAAAAAATTTTGAAGACTACCAGTAAAGAACCCCAAAAGACCATTTCCAATAAAAAGGTTTTTAATAGATGATGCACAAATGGGAAGACATTGTGTTTCAATCCCAAGATCTCCATAAAGCACAAGGCAATAATTTTTCCTTAAAGAACTCACCTTAACAGTCATAAAAACAATTTGTTCACTAAAGGAAAAGATTAGAAAAAAGGAAAATAACAACTCGGGATTGTAACCACTTTTCACATCCTATAACATACCCACCACCACTGAATTCCTAAGATTCTACCAAATCATAAATTTAAAAACTAACACAAATATGCTGAAACACTTATCACTCCATGAACAAATGAGGTTCTATCAAAACACATTAAAATATAATTTATTTTTGAATTTTTAACTCCTCCTTCTGAAAAGGCCATGTATGGGCTAAGAATGCTAAGTTTGTTGGGTTTTCCCACCATTTGTAACGGAATAATTAAGGTAGAAACATGCATTTTAAGTTTTAGAGCAGGTGATGTCATGGAGAGATTTTTTATTAAGAAGAGATATTATAACCTTAAAGGCCAATCAGATCATTAAAATGCCTCTACATGAGAAAGTCTTTCATTTTGGACCCGAAAGTCTCAGAAGCGTGAGTTTTCCTTCAATCAGTGGAAGCAGATGAGCAAAAGAGGGAGAAATGCTGGCTCATGGGGAGCTGAGAATTTGCTTCCCAGCATTTTCAGGCATTTTCAAAATAGAAATAGATCCTATTCACTCCTACCCAGACAGGAGAAGTGAGTTAACTCTTATGATGAAGACAACACGCAACTCACCAGCAGACAACTAGCAGAAGGGAAATTCAACCTATCTCTTCTAAGAAGAGGCACCTGATCAGACTCCTTCTGCCCCTATGGATCGAAAGAGCTTCCAACAGAACTGGACTGGAGGGTCAGCAATGTCCCTTTGGCTTATCTGGTGCTGCGGTGTATTCTTGTGTGAGTATATTTCATCTGCTTGGCATGGAGCCAATTCACTCTGGGGGTTAAGGCAAGGAACAGAAGAGCAAAACCCACCTTAGTCACTGATGCAGGACAGATATGAAAGGGCTCACTCATATTCACTGTCTCTAGCTTCATCCCAACTGTGAAGAAATGGCTTCGCAAGTCTGCATGATCCTGCAGGGAAGAAGACAAAAATATTGAAGGCACTGGTACTGTGAACACAGAGACCGTCTGGGTGCTATCCTTGAGCATTTTCTTGGATTTCTGAAAGCTGATGGAAATAATTAACCCTCCCTGTTTCAAATTTCTAATTATTGCAAGATACTGAGGATTTAATTATTTCTGCAGGCTAAATTGCCTTCCCAAGGCACGCTGTGACCACGCTGAGATTTACACTAGGAAAAAAAAAAACTCACGTTACATTGCTTTGATCTTCCTAGGTCCTCTCAACTGAAGCACAGCAGAGTAACGGAGGCAATCAGTCATCTTAAACACAGCAGGGGAGTTTTCAGAAAACGTGGCCTCTTGCTAGGGGAGTTACATCACAGGGCATCAGTGGTACCTGCTGGGGGATGGAATGTCCCCCTCCTGTGCTCCTAACTCGTAATGGCCTTACCAGTTAGGGAGCCCATGATCTTGGAGCTGTGTGCACAAATCCAAAGATGCCCTGTAGGACCAGAACCTGACTTGTACTTAATAAAGATGAGCAGCACCCCTTTGTAATAGATGCCTGGCAATTTTATGAGGCACTTGCAGTAACCTGGTGTGTGAGACCCGGGGCTTCCCTGTCTTATGAAGAAAGAAATTTCAATATTCACTTCAGCTACACAGAATAGATGAGGATGGCTGGACTCTGGATCCAAGAATTTATCTTGCTGAAATGGAGGTCACCTCTTAACTCACACTCGGAGTATAAATAGTAGCCAATAAATAAATGCATTTGCAGTCTGTCCCTGAGAAAACAGTGGCTGCAAATAAATCTTGTTATTTCCAAACACATTAGTTGCTGAGAAACTACTACTGTCTTTTATCAAAAAATCCAAAGTGAGTTTTAATTAATTCATTGATGTCATTCTATACCCAACTTTGAGGATAGTAGAGAGCCCATTTGTGCTATCCCTGCTCCCTCCATCCTCGACCCCAAAAGCTGGTCAATACTGTCATCCAACAGGAGACCAGGGAAGAGGAAATGCTCATAAAAGTCTCCACTGCTTTATGCTTGGCCAGAGAAAGTACAGATTATAAACACCTACAGAACCACAAAGACCCTTTGACTTTTCATGTCCCCATAGCAGTCTGCAAAAATCTTTGTACACAAAGATGCACAATAAATTCTGGGTCTGAGTGAAGCAATTAATGCCACATCCAGGGAGGAGGTTAATCAGAGCAAGAAGGAAGGTAGTCAAATACAAGAAAAAAATGAATCAAAGGAATGAGTGCATTCTACACCTTTATAAATTCCTTAAGAACTTATAATCAACACTTTATAAAAATTATATGCATACGGAAAAAGCACAAGGAAATATTCTTAGGTGCCCATAATGACTTTGTTTATGCTGCAACCTTTATAAATTCTTTAAGAGCTTACAATCAACACTTTATAAAAAGTTGTATGCATAAAGAAAAGCACGGGTGATATTCTTAGGTGCCGGTGATGACTTTATGTTGCAAATAAAATCTTTCTTTTTCAAGGTGGATGGTGAAGGCAGGTCAGAAAAGAAAAAGAATGAGAAGCCACAGTCTAGGAAGTTAATACGTCTTAACAAACACCAACCATAATGCCAAGGCAGGGCTGTAAACCACAGGTGTGGAGGCATAAGAACTAAATTGAAAATGACTAATTGATGTCTGAATTAAAAGATTAAAATTTAAGCTCCTGTCAGGGATCGACACCCCCAGTACCTACCAGTGGGAACTGAGTCACATGCTTGGGTTTTGCAGGTAAATATATTCCCCCTTTTGAAGCACAAAAACCTTTAACCTTTTATTCTAAAATTATAAAATAAAAACTACCCGAGCCTACTCAACAAATTTAAGCAATCAGTATTACGCCATCTGATAATACAGAAATCCCTAGGGCACTAATGACACTGGCCCAGGTGAAGGTGAGCCGCTTCTCAGAGCCCTTCTGTTTCCCTCTCTGTGATGGGATGTCCTGATGTCACTCTCTCTCAACACCCACAGCTACACACCTAAACCTGCTTCAGGTCACTACTCACAGGAACTGGTCCCGGCTCCTTGATGGCTTCCACTCCAGGGCTCTCCTTGGAACTTCTGCCTCTCACAAGTCCCCACTGGAGGGAGCCCCCACCCTCCGTGCACCAGCGATCGAGGCTTCTGGTCTACCTGTTGTCCTGCACCAGGTCCAGCGTGCACACCTGCTCTATTTCATACACTTTTCCTTTGGCCTTTGCTGAGTGGAGTCAGCTTTCTGAACAGAACTGACCCACCGCCCGAGGCCCTTTCTCAACCCCAGCTCTCAGTTTGGCCTGGATCACTGATTTGAAGTCATTCACGTCCAAGCACAGGTATTTGTAGGATGACCTTAAATATTCACATATATCTGTACTATCCTATTAAGTTTGAATTTCAAATTTCAGAAATTAATACAGTAATTATAAAGTACATTCTTGTATCTTCCAATCCTCATTTTCGCTTTCTTAAGGTCCTTTTTTAATCAACCTTGAAAATAATAATTAAAAAAAAAAATCTTACTGGACCAGGTAGAAATCCCACCAGTTTCAAAGGTAAATCAACAAAATTGAAATTTAAAAAATTCAAGACTAAAGACACATAATGCCTAAGAGTTTGACTATATCCTCTAATATTTTTGCTGTCCGTGATCAATAATGCCAGGAACTTTTTACTGCAGAAGCAGGATTAATATTTTCTAAAGAGGCTCGCCACTGAAACTTCTGGCCACTAGAGAACTTTGGAAAACACGGAAGACGGCTATGTCATATGTGCAGTGCTTCTTGGCAGATGCCAAACTAACGTTTGTGGTGTGCAGTCCATCCAAGAAAGACCACAATAAATATTTATTAAATTAAATTGCAGGTTGTGGGGAAAAAATAGATGATCTCTTGACATCCACTCTAGTTCTATGTTCTACCATTTGTTCATTATAAACCATTGGGGATCACAGAGTAGGCTACTAGGTGTTGGAATGGACACTCCAAAAACCTAATTTGTCCAAGATGGAAAAGACAAGGAACAGCTAAGGAAGACTAGGCTAGAAGAAATTTCAGAAATAATTCTTTTTATTTCTAGCATATAAAAATTAAATGTCATTGTGATTATGGCAGTCAAAGGACTTATGAGGGTGAATCTTAATTTGAATTGTGAAAAGCACGTGACTCAGAATGATAAACAGAAGACGCTAGGCCAGGCGCTACGGCCCATGCCTGTAATCCCAGTGGCTTGGGAGACTGAGGCAGGAGGATCGTGAGTTCAAAGCCAGCCTCACCAACAGTGAGGTGCTAAGCAACTCAGTGAGACCCTGTCTCTAAGTAAAATACAAAATAGAACTTGTGATGTGGCTCAGTGGTCAAGTATCCCTGAATTCAATTCTTGGTACCCTCTCCAAAAAAAAGAAAGATGCTGGAGAGAAAGCACAGTAAATGCAATCAGGGAGGCTGGGACTTATGTACCGGATGGAGGCACCCGACTGTGATGGAAAAGGCAAAAGAAATCACTGGGCACTTCTAAGAAATAGCCACGTTTATGACATCTGAAGAACTCAACACCAGTGAATTTCCAAATTAGTCAGCAGGCGGAGCTGTGCAAGTTCTGTGCATGTATCTAAGCATCCATATTTGTGTGAGAAAAGGTGTAGATTTTCTCACTGAAAAACAAGTGTAATCACTGCCAGGCCCTCTACATTGAGCTGTTAATGCAGTCCGAATACCTGTGTTCATTTACACAAACACCCAGATAATCATCTTCAACGCAAAGGAAAGAGGGTTCCTGGCTCCCAAAGATGAGTCACAAAATCAATTATCTCCCGAGAGCTAATGGAAATTTCACTGTGGTTTGAAAGAGACATTCTGGTCTTTGCAAAGCTCTGGAGAATCATTCACACTTCCCAATGTCTGTATCACAAATGATGCTATTCGTGATATGGGGACACATTACTAAACCCCCAGTACATTTACAAATATCCCATCACATTCAAGAGATACTGTTTGCTTACATGCACTGGAGTCCAGTTAAATTGCTTACTGAAAAACTACTTTCCTATCATAAATGCCAGCAATGCTATTCCCAGCTACACTCATGGCTACCCATTTTTATTTTTGCCCTAAAGTAGTTTTTATATTAATCAAAAGTAAAATGCCATTCATTTTATTGGAGGGCTGTCTTACCAAGCAATCTTACTAATCTTACTAAAATTCTTCAGGGAATTTGCCTTCAGTGGAATGACATGGTAGAAGAGAATCTGTTTACATAACTTCCTTTCTCACAGGGCTCTTTGGCCATACTCCCTCCAGGGTCTAAGTGTTCTTCATTCTCCCCTGGGATGGTTCTGTGACTCAGCATTAAGACTAATTTGAACTGGTGTATAATATCAAGCCGGTGGGAATGAGGACGGGGGACAGGCTGGGCATACTGGCAAGCACTTGCCCTACGGTATGATCTTCCCTTCACAAAGACTGTGGGGTACTATCCATCTTATAGTGAGGAAATTAAGTCACAGAGAAGTTAAGTTATCTATGCAAGAAGAGAGTCAAGGTTTAAACAAGCAGTCTGACTCTAAGTCTGTGATCTAGCCACCAGACTATATCACGGACTGGGAAGTAAGGAACAAAATAAGGATTTTTTTTATTGGTAATTAATAAACATAAAATTTCTACAGTCTGTAGGCTCCTATAATCTTTCTTCAAAGACATCTACTACCAAGTTGAAAAGTGGCAGCTCCCAATACTAATCATTTACTTAGAACCTTCCTGTTTTGCTGTTAATTCATAACATTCTTCAATGGCTTCATAAAAAAGTATGTCAGAGGAAATTCTGAAATAAGAAGTTATATCCTCAAAACATTTTTAAATGGCTAGTCACCAACAATTAGCAAATACCTTGCTGGGTGCAGTCGTGGCTCATGCCTGTAATCTCAATGGCCCAGGAGGCTGAGGTAGGAGGATCGCAAGCTCAAGACCAGCCTGAGCAACTTAGTG